GAGCAGCGGCTGCCAGGCTGGGAGCGGCCAGGCCCGGGGGAGCAGGCGGGGCTGGTGCGGCCAGGCCCGGAGCAGCGGCTGCCAGGCTGGGAGCGGCCAGGCCCGGGGGAGCAGGCGGGTCGGGTGTGGCCAGGCCCGGAGCAGCGGCTGCCAGGCTGGGAGCGGCCAGGCCCGGGGGAGCAGGCGGGTCGGGTGCGGCCAGGCCCGGAGCAGCGGCTGCCAGGCTGGGAGCGGGCAGGCCCGGGGGAGCAGCCGGGTCGGGTGCGGCCAGGCCCGGAGCAGCGGCTGCCAGGCTGGGAGCGGCCAGGCCCGGGGGAGCAGGCGGGGCTGGTGCGGCCAGGCCCGGAGCAGCGGCTGCCAGGCTGGGAGCGGCCAGGCCCGGGGGAGCAGGCGGGTCGGGTGCGGCCAGGCCCGGAGCAGCGGCTGCCAGGCTGGGAGCGGCCAGGCCCGGGGGAGCAGGCGGGGCTGGTGCGGCCAGGCCCGGAGCAGCGGCTGCCAGGCTGGGAGCGGCCAGGCCCGGGGGAGCAGGCGGGTCGGGTGCGGCCAGGCCCGGAGCAGCGGCTGCCAGGCTGGGAGCGGCCAGGCCCGGGGGAGCAGGCGGGGCGGGTGCGGCCAGGCCCGGAGCAGCGGCTGCCAGGCTGGGAGCGGCCAGGCCCGGGGGAGCAGGCGGGTCGGGTGCGGCCAGGCCCGGAGCAGCGGCTGCCAGGCTGGGAGCGGCCAGGCCCGGGGGAGCAGGCGGGTCGGGTGCGGCCAGGCCCGGAGCAGCGGCTGCCAGGCTGGGAGCGGCCAGGCCCGGGGGAGCAGGCGGGGCTGGTGCGGCCAGGCCCGGAGCAGCGGCTGCCAGGCTGGGAGCGGCCAGGCCCGGGGGAGCAGGCGGGGCTGGTGCGGCCAGGCCCGGAGCAGCGGCTGCCAGGCTGGGAGAGGCCAGGCCCGGGGGAGCAGGCGGGGCTGGTGCGGCCAGGCCCGGAGCAGCGGCTGCCAGGCTGGGAGCGGCCAGGCCCGGGGGAGCAGGCGGGGCTGGTGCGGCCAGGCCCGGAGCAGCGGCTGCCAGGCTGGGAGTGGCCAGGCCTGGAGCAGCAGCAGCCAAGTCCAGAGCAACTAGGTCGGGAGCGGCAGTGACCAGACCCGGAGCAGCTGGTTGTGGAATGAACCAGAGCAACAGAGGCCAGGCCCTGAGCAGCCAGGCCCAGAACAGCTCGCTCCTTGCCGGTCCCTGCCCCACGGCTGCTTCTCAGACATGGCTGGAAACTTTCGTGGGAACTTGAGGGTCTGCTGAATCAAGTGATGAAGGCTTAGATCTGGATGTGTTGAGTTAGTTTAGGACTGGGGTGTTGATCTGTGAGTGCCTTGGGTGGGGCCTGGATGAGGCTGGTTGACCTAGTGGGAAATGTCTTTTGTGTGAAGTGTATCATTGGGCATGTGGAGGTATTATTGATATGAGAAAATGCTAAGTAACTGATTTACTATCTGAAAAGGGATTTACTATTGGGGAAATTGAGGGAAGAAGAGACTGAACATAAACTGCACCTATGGATGAGGACAATGGGGGATGGGGGGGGATGGAGGGTGGGGTGGGAACCTGGTGGAGGGGGGAAGAAATGAGGAACCTTTGTAATAATATGAACAATAAAGATTGATTAAAAAAAAAAAAAAAAAAAAAAAGAGGGAAATCAAGGATGATTCCAGAGTTATTAAGATGAGCAAGTGAGAGAATAAAGGAGGGATACACAGGCTGGGGGATAAGAGCAGTAATTCCTTTCAAACACGTTCATTTTGAGTTGCCTACTTAGACCCCCTAAGGGTAGATGTGAGAGAGAGAGGTTTGGAGTTTAGACAGATATCTGGTTAGGAGAGATAAATCTGGGACCCAGAGGCACATAGGTATTTATTTATTTGTTTGTTTATTTTGATTTCAGAGAGGGAGAGGGAGAAAGAGATAGAAACATCAATGATGAGAGAGAATCACTGATGGGCTTCCTCCTGCACCATCAGGAATCAAGCCCACAACCAGGGCATGTGCCCTGACCGGGAATTGAACTGTGACCTCCTAATTCATAGGTGGACGCTCAACCACAGAGCCATCGAGGCCAGGGCGGCACACAGGTATTTAAAGCCAGCAGACCAGATGAGATTACCAAGGAGGTGTGGGTAAAGATCAGGGGCAGATAGGCCTCTTCTTTAAAAGATAACTCTGTTCCTCTTTCAGTTGTAATAATCTGAACAATAAAGATTTATTTAAAGATAAATAAATAAAAATAAATAAATAAATAAATATGAGATCACACAAACAGAAAGGAAATAAATAAATAAAATAAAAGATAACTCTGGTTTTCCATTCTTGCTAACTTCCACGATTCATTATCCAGGGGGTAGCTCTAGTGACTTTCACACCATATAAATTCTTTTACTGCATCAGCTGAATCCTCCAGTGGATCTCCAGGTGCCTCCAGTCCCGCTCAAGCCCTTTCCCACTGCTCACCGCAGCCCTTACACTCCCGAGCCTCCTCAGGCCACCTCCCTCTCACCTCGGCCACCTCCTCCCGCCCTATACTCCAGCCACTGCACTCCTGTCCTCAAGGACAGAGGGAGCTCTGTACTTGACTGCTCCCTCTGCCTGGTGCACTCTCCCCTGATCTGTATGTGGCTTGGTCCCTTACTCCATTCAGTTCTTGCTCAAATGTTCCTTATCAAGGTGAGCTTCCTAAGTTACGGTAGGTTAAACAACCTTCCCCCTCATTGGCTACCATGATACTGCTGTTATGTCCCCAGCACTATCTGAAGCTCAAATTGGTTTTTAGGGTCTCTTTGTAAGGGCTGGGACCCTGCCTGTCTTGCCTGACACCACATCTCTAGGGGCTAGAAGAGATGTTTTTGTGGGGTGGTGGCAGGGACAATAGGCTGAGGCTAATGTGGGTAGACAAGAAGGCCGAAACTGGTTTGGTTCAGTGGATAGAGCATCAGCCTTCGGACTTGGGGGTTCCGGGTTCGATTTCAGTCCAGGACATGTACCTTGGTTGCAGGCGCCATCTGCAGTAGGGGGTGTGCAGGAGGTGGCTGATTGATGTTTCTCTCTCATTGGTATTTCTGGCTATCTCTCTCCCTTCTTCTCTGTAAAAAAAAATCAATAAAATATATTTTAAAAGGGGGGGGGGGGCTGTCAGACTAGCACAAAGAGGCAAGAGGGGTGAAGAGGAGGGCACCAAGGCCTGGCTTTACTGCTCAGGCCTTAAGAGAACCAGCTAGGCAGAGCCACCCACCTGACTCATAGCAGAAACTGGGATAGCCTGCACTGCCCACCTCTTCAGTCCTCTGGGGAAATGCCACACCTAGTGCCTAAATGCCAGCTCCCCCTTTGCCCTACCCCCCCCCCCCACCTATGTCTGGGCCTTCTGCCAGAGTTACTGTCAAACTCTTCCACTTCCATGTCCTTCCCTCTGTTTGATCCCCAAGTCCATAGCGTGACTTTCCTCCCTGCTCTATCTCCCATCAGACTGGGATCCTCTGAGGGCCTGGAGGGTACAAAACCACTCTTATCTAGGGCACCTAGCATTGAGTTTAGAGTCCAGCACCTCAATATTGTCCACCTAGAACTCCTATCTGAGTCAAAATCCACTTCAAATAGACCCTCATTTGAAGGAATTCTTGGACCTGAGGGCCTGAGGCACAATCCTAAAACCAGGTTATCATAATCCCCATTTTACAAATGGGAAACTGAAGCTCACGTACAACCAACCAGAAAGTGGTGAAGCCAAGATTTGAACTCGTGGTTTCAATATGCAGGCTCAACCACAGGTATCCTTAAATCTGTATGATATGGATCATCACCATCTTCCAGATGAGAAACTTCAGACATGTAGGGGCTAAGCAATACACCTAAGAACACACAGTAAGTCCCACAACCTGAGGTCCCTCCCTCTATCCCACACTTGACCATAAATGAATGCCAAGGTCTCCGCAGAAATCGGCCCCATCAAGCTGAAAGGTCACTGAGCTTGTGTTTGGCGGTTGAATTATTATTTTTTTTAATTCTCATGAAGATATTTTCGCGTTGCTTTTTAAAATATCAGTGCTTTTTTATATACAGTGGAAGGGAGGCAGGGAGAGGGGAGAGAAACATCAATATGAGACACCTCAATTGGTTGTCTTTCACACCTGGTCCCAACTGAGGCAAGGGAAGAACCTGCAACCCAGGTATGTGCCCATGACCAAGAATTGAACCCAGGATCCTTTGGTGTACAGCTGATGCTCTAACAAGCCAGGGCTGATTTTTATTTATTCATTTTTAAATGTATTTTTATTGATTTCAGAGGGGAAGGGAAAGAGAAGCATTGACCGGCTGCCTCCTGCATGCCCCCTACTGGAGATCGACCCCATAACCTGGTGCCCTTGAGTGGAACTGAATGGAACCTGGAACCTTTTAGTCTGCAGTCCGAGGCTCTACCCACTGAGCAAAACCAGCTAGAGCTGTTTGTTTTTTTGGTTAGTTGTTTGTGTTTTTGTTTTTTTTTTTTTATGAGAGAGAGAGAGAGAAAGAGAGAGAGAGAGAGAGAAAGAGAGAGAGAGAGAAAGTTACAGAGAGAGAGGTGGATGTGAGAGAGATATATCCATGTGACAAACACCCATGGTTGCCTCCCCAAAGCACCCCTACCTGGTACCTGGTATGTGTCCTGACTGGGAATGGAACCCGTCACCTTTAAGGTACAGGACAATCTCCAACTGAGCCACTAGGGGAGGGCCGAATGTTGATTTTTTAAAAAAAATAAGTAATGAATAGCAGGATACTGTGCCGAATTTGTTAGGAAAAGGACTCGAACTGGAGGTTCTAAAGCTTCTCCAGCTTCTCCTGGATTCCACTTCCTTCCGTGGCCCCGCCCAGCCTCGGACGCGCCCACACCACTTCCCGGAAGTGGGCGGCCCGGAGAGCGGGCGCCGTGTGCGCAAAGCACCACGGGAATTGTAGTTCCGCCGTCGGACGGAAGCCGGGAGGGACGAGCGGCGGGATGTGGAGCGGATTGCTGGTGGCGGGGACCCGGCTGGCTGCAGGAAGGTGTCCCGCGTTATGGCCTCGCCTCGCCGCCCTCTCCCCCACACAGCGGGTGCCCGAGACGGGTCTTGCCCCGCAGCGGAGCCTGCACACGACGGCGGCGCGGGCTATCCCGCTCATTCCCATCGTGGTGGAGCAGACGGTATCGTGGCCGGCGGAGAACAGGCCTGGGGGCTTGGGCTGGGGGCACGACCGCCCTGACCCTCACCTCCATCTTTCTCCTCCAGGGTCGCGGCGAGCGTGCCTATGACATCTACTCGCGGCTGCTGAGGGAGCGCATCGTGTGTGTCATGGGTCCGGTGAGCACCCTGATCCTCCCTTGCTCCTGCCCGGATCCTAGGCGCCTCTTATCCTCGAACCCATTGACTTCCTGATCCCTCCCATTTGACTTTCCTCCCTGGACTCCGCTCTAGTCACCCTCTTCCTTGTACATTAGCCTTCTGACTACCCCGCCCCCATCCCCACGTACTCCCCACCATTCTATCCTGACCCTCCTCTTCCTGACTTCTGAACTCCCTCCCACAGCTATGATCCTATCCCGGTTCCTGGACTCTATGATCCTGTCCTGGTTCCTGGACTCCAGACCCCCGACCCTTCTGACCCCTTCCCTTCCTGTGCTCTGAGCCCACTGACGGTGCCCCAAACTCCCTGGGTCCCAACCACCCCCTACATACCTTCCTTAATCCTGAATTCTTTCCAACCCATCTTACTTGGGCTCTGACTGTCATCCTGGTTCCCTGGCTCATCCCCAGCCACGCCAAAACTTGCCTCCCTTAGCCCTCTCCCTAACCACCACCTGGGACACCTATCTTCCCCACTTGCAGATTGATGACAATGTGGCCAGCCTGGTTATCGCACAACTGCTGTTCCTGCAGTCTGAGAGCAACAAGAAGCCCATCCACATGTACATCAACAGCCCTGGTGAGCATGGGGAGTGAGGGAGGAACCCCTAAGTTCGAGGGGGCACTGCTTGGATGCACTAGGTGACTCAGGAGACTCTAAACCCCCCTTACCCCCCAGCCTTTCCCAATCCCATCTGGAGAAAGTAGGGATTCAGAATTAACTTCAGAATCCCAAAAGTGTCTTGAACCCTCCAAAAACTGCTCCTTGCTTTTAAGTCTAGGTTCACAAACCTTCAGTTAAATTTTCCTCTTTGATCACAGACATAACTTTTTTTTTTTTTTACAGTTGAGTTGGTATTCAACGTTATTTTATATTTATTTCAGGTGTACAGCATAGTGGTTAAACAATTATGTAATTTACAAAGTGACCCCCTGATAATTCTAGCACCCATCTGGCACCATGCATGCTTAATGCAATTTTATTGATTATATTCCCTTTGATGAACTTTAATCCCTATGACTATTTTGTCACTGCCAATTTGTGCATGTTAATCCCTTCACCTTTTCCCCCAATTGCCCTCTTCTCTGGCAACCATGAGTCTGTTCTCTATAAGTTGTTGGGTTTTTTTCTTTTCTGATTTGCTTGTTTGTTCTTTAGATTCCTCATATATGTGGAGTCATACGGTATTTGTCTTTTTCACACACATAACATTTTACCAACCTGACCTAGTTGTCAACATTTTTAAATTGGTAGATTCCACCACCACCACCCTCTCCCCTCAAAAAAGAAATAGCCAATCTTGACTGAGTGTTTTCTATGCACTTTATGTGCATCTAACTTATTTGACCCTTATTGCAGCCTCACTGAGGAGACACTGTGGCTCTGAGAGGCTAGGAACCTTGCCCAGGCCACACAGATGACAGATTGCTCAGCCAGGCTGCCCCTGGAGCTTCACCCTCAGCCACATCTCCGGATTTCTAGTGTCTCTTAAAAATTTGGTCGCTCTGAGCCCACATGCACGTGTGGCAACAAGTCGCTCTGGAGCAAGCACTCATTTTGTTCCCATCTGGCCTGTGTCACCTGTTCCTGGCACCTCCCTCCCCACAAGGTATCTGCAGACCCTGCTTTAAAGAACTGCATTTAACCCTAGCCTAGTGGCTCAGTTGGAGCATCGTTCCATGCACTAGAAGGTTATGGGTTCGATTCCTGGTCAGAGCATATACCTAGTTGTAGGTTCAATCTCTGGTTGTGGCATATATGGGAGGCAGCCAATCCATGTTTTTCTCACATGAATGATTCTTTTTCTCTCTAAAAAACAGCAACCTTTGGGAGAAGATTTTTTAAAAAAAACAACTGCATTCACACCAACTCTCCCAAACACCAGGCCTAATATAGGGAAAGGATGGTGGGAGGAGCTGGCACAGCCCCTAACTTGTGCTCACACCCATAGGTGGCCTGGTGACCTCGGGCCTGGCCATCTACGACACGATGCAGTACATCCTGAACCCCATCTGCACGTGGTGTGTTGGCCAGGCCGCCAGCATGGGCTCCCTGCTTCTCGCCGCGGGCACCCCTGGCATGCGCCACTCGCTCCCCAATTCACGCATCATGATCCACCAGCCCTCTGGGGGCGCCCGGGTGAGTGCCAGGTCCTGCAAGCTGCTTTAGGGATGGGGGACAGGGGTCTAGACAGAAGGACTGACTGGGTGAAACTCTGTGGGGATGTCAGTGTTTTAAAATGTAGGGTTTATTATTACTCAGCTACAGTGAGGTCAACAGAAGCCAACTGCTGTTACTCACAGTCTCCAAAAGGAAGGGGCATGCCAGGCTATGGCAGGGACGCACGGGCAAGTGCCAGGGTTGGCTAGGAGGCAAAGGGAGCATGACAAGAGCCTTTATTGTCATGTCTGTGGGGAAAATTGGGGGCAAGGCAAGATCAACAGCTTTAAGATTGGCTAGTCTGAATAACTAAGCTCTGAGGTGTCATAGCTCTCCCTAGGTGTATGGCAGCTGGCCTTCGGGGGATCGGGACAGGAATAGTGACTCAGAATCCAGGAGGTGGTGGGAATATGACCTCTGAATTGTCTTGATTTGCACACGAATGGTGTGCTTTTAGGTGAGCTGCTTGCTATCTCTAGGAATTAGCTAGCCCTGGTAGGGACCATTCCACTAGGTCAGTGAGGTCCAGATACAGAAAATAAGATCATATATTTAATCCAGGAAGCTTTCCTGATGGTGGTGAGGATGAAGCAGCATGTAGAGGGACTTAAAGCCCTAACCCATCTGCCTGACCACTGGCAGTCCAAAGTCCCAAGGGGGCTTTCGGGTCCCCATCTCCAGCCTTCCCATGAGTGCTGACACTGGTTCCAACCTTCTCCTTGGGACGTCCCCCAGGGCCAAGCCACAGACATCGCCATTCAGGCAGAGGAGATCATAAAACTCAAGAAGCAGCTCTACACCATCTATGCCAAGCACACCAAACAGAGCCTCCAGGTGATTGGTGAGTGCCCTGCCCAGGCAGACTCCCTTCCTTTATTGGAACCAATACAGGTGTAAGTGTCAGGCTTGCGCTGAGCCAGGGCCTCTCAACCTTAGCACTGCTGACACTCGGGGTCAATCTCTGTGCTGGGGACTGTCCTATGCACTGTAGGGTACTGAGCAGTACCTCTGGCTGCCATCCTAGATGCCAGGAACACCCTGTAACTATGACAACCAAAACTATCTCCAGACATTGCCCAGTGTCCTCTGAGAGACAGAATCACCTCCAGTTGAGAACCTCTGTTCTAAGCACTTAAAAAAAAAATTTACAAAACCTTCAAAAACTTCATTGAAATGGGTCAAAAGGTTTGAGCAGGGCCTTCCACAAAGAATATTCCAAGTGACCAAAAAGCATAAGAAAAGATGCTTACGCCCGGCTGTGCTGGCTCAGTGGATTGAGCATCATCCCATGGACCAAAAAGTCCCGCGTTCGATTCCCAGTCAAGGGCACATGTCCAGGGGTTGCAGGCTCGATCCACAGTAGGGGGCATGCAGGAGGCAGCCAATCAATGATTCTCTCTCATCATTGATGTTTCTATCTTTCTCCCCATCTCCCTTCCTCTCTCATATCAATAAAAATGTATTTTTTTTAAAAAAAAAAAAGGAGAAAAGTTGCTCACCCTCTTGAGTGATGCTGTTTAATCATGACATTATGAGATATGAGGGAAAGGAAATTAAGGTCACAACGAAATACCATTTCAATCCACTGGAATAGCTAAAATATAAAATGCTGACAAGAATGTGGAACAACTTATACGCTTATCCTGCAGGCCGGAGTGAAAATGATCGAGCCACTCATGCTCTGATCTGCAGCTCCCTAACTCCAGCTTTTTGGCTCTCCTGGCGAGGGCTGAACATGCAAAAAAATGCTGGGGCTCCCTCACTCAGCATATATGGGAGAGCTGAGTGTTCATGTCCATCAAAGATGCAGACAGGAATGCTGATGGCAGCCCTGTTCATACAGGCCCCAAACACCGATGCCCACAGCGGGAGAATGAGTGCATTGGTAGAGGTTTATTCACAGAACAGAATACTTTACAGCAGTGAGTGAATGGTCCATGATGACATGGCAGCCTGGAGGAATCTCAGAAACCTAACGCTGAGTGGAAAAAAAAAGAGTAAACTGTGATTCCACGTATTTAAAGAACAAAAACAGGCATAACCTTTAGGTCACTGTGGTGGCAGGAAGTGGGCTCAAGCAGGGTTTTAGGGGATCGAAGTGATGCTCTTTTTTTTTTTTTTTTTAATCGACACCTGAAGATTTTATATATATAATATATAAAAAAAACCTTTATATATAAAATCAATTAGACCCCCCTAAAATATATATTTAAATTGACTTGAGAGAGGAAGGGGAAGAGAGAGAAATATTAATGTGGGAGAGAAACATTGATCAATTGTCTCCCCATATACACTCCGACTGGGGATCGAAACCACAATCTAGGTAAGTGCCCTGACTGGGAATCGGACCCATAATCTTAGTGTATGGGATGACGCTCCAACCAGCTGAGCCACCCGGCCAGGCCAACGTCCCATTTCTTTTTTTCTTTTTTTTAATATATTTTATTGATTTTTGTACAGAGTGGAAGGGAGAGAGATAGTTTGAAACATCAATGAGAGAGAGTCATCGATCAACTGCCTCTTGCACACCCCCTACTGGGGATATGCCCGCAACCAAGGTACATGCCCTTGACTGGAATCTAACCGGGGGCCCTTCAGTCCCCAAGCCAACGCTCTATCCATTGAGCCAAACCGGTCCCGGCGTAACGTCCCATTTCTTGATCTGGTTGCTGGCCATGTGGGTATGTTCAATCTGAAATTCATCCCATTATCCACTTATGATTCACGCCCCTGCCCAAGTTATCATCCATTACTAACAAGTAAAAAAAGTTGAAATATCTGAAGAACAAAATGGACTAGTGAATATAATAGAATCAGGGACATAGAAAGGGATTGGACTAACAATTCTCAGGGGGAAAGGAGTCTGAGGGGTGAGGGAAGAGATTGGACAAGAATCTTACACCTTATGGATGAAGACGGCCGGAGGGTAAGGGCATGGGGTGGGGTTGGGAATCAGGTGGAGGGGAACTATGGGGGAAAAGAGGAACACCTGTAATATGAACAGTAAAGATTTATTATAAAAAACAAAAGTTGAAATAGGTATTTTAGCAATGGTATTTAGAAATGGGCACAAAGTGGGAAAGACATGTGCCCTGACGGGAAACTGGCAACCTTTTGGTGTATGGGATGAGGCTCAACCAACAGCCATACCAGCGAGGGTTCCAGGTCTCTGTTTTTAACCACACATGTCCTGTCTCCCGCTTCCCCCCTCCCCCAGAGTCGGCCATGGAGAGAGATCGCTACATGAGTCCCATGGAGGCCCAGGAGTTTGGCATCTTAGACAAGGTACTGGTGCACCCACCTCAGGATGGTGAGGACGAGCCTGAGCTAGTGCAGAAGGAGCCTGTGGCAGCAGCGACAGCAGCAGAACCTGCTCCAGTGAGCACTTGACTGGACCTCACCCTTGAGAGGATAGTTGGGCCAGAAGCTACAGCTGCTGTACTTCGGCTCCTCGCTGCTGAGCCTGGAGGAGCCCCTTGAGGACCTTTGGACTTGAGTGTACCCCTAGTGGTGGGTATCCTGGCTGAGACACTGTGATTTTAAATTAAATCTTTGTAGTCTTTGCTCCCCTTCTGTGGCTCCTTCCTTCCCCTCTCCACCACCATGCAAGTGTATATGCTTCGTAAGGCCCCTTCTGCTTTGGCCCTGACCCTGAGGCTCTAATCTTCAGCTCCTGAACTTCAACAACCTGGACTGGGCATATACACCATTCCACGCACTCTTCTAGAGGGCGCAACGAATCGTGAAGCAAACACAAAAATCCCTGTCCTCAAGAACTTATTCTTGTGGGGGCAGACAGTTTAAAATCAGGAAAAGCAGTGTGCAGGGTGTGTGTGTATATGCGCGTGTGACAGTTTTGAATGGGGAGGCCAGTGAAGGCCTTGCTAAGAAGGTGACATTTGAGCAAAGATCTGAAGGAGGTGAGGGAGGGAGCCATGTTGCTATCTTAGGACAGAGCAGTCCAGGCAGAGGATATAGCGAGCGCAAAAGCCCTGAGGCAGGACTGTGCCTGGCATCTGGGAGGAACCAGAAGACTAGAGAAGATTAAAGCAGAAAGGGGAGAAGTACAGATTTCAAAAGGCCTGGTAGGTCTTGGCAATGAGAGAGATAAATTGCAGAGCGTTTTGAGGAAAGGAGCAAAAAGAAGTATGACTGGCCCCCAGGGAGATGTGGGAGGAGTGCAGGAAGCTCAGAAACGTGGAGGCCAGTTAGGAGACTTGCAATAATCCAGATGAAGGCTGAAGGCCCAACCAGGTGGTGCGAAGAGGTCAGGTTCCAGCCAGGTTGTAAAGTCAGGGCTGACAGGTGGAATATGAGATTTGAGAAAGAAAGTAATCTTCATAAACTCCAAGGAATTGGCCCAGAGCAGCTAGAAAGATGGAGAGTTGCTAACTGAGATGGGAAGGCTGGCGGGAGGAACAGGTTTGAGGGCCGCAATCAGAAGCTGCTTTTGGTTGTTATATTTGATGCTGGATGAGCCTCCGACATCCCAGGGGATGGGTAAGTCTGGGTCAGGGTTGGAAATAAAAATACAGGAGACATCAGCTTGTGGAATTCGTGATCAGGCAGAGAACTGGCAGTTGGGTTTGGCGCAGTAAAAGTCACTAAGTGGCCTTAAGCACTTTCAGTGCTGTGGGGTCTCGGAAAGCATGGGCCGGAAAATACTGGAGCCCGACAAATCTTCCAGGGAATCCTGCTGTAAAGGAGAGCAGAGAACGTGGGACTGGAGCTGGAGGGAGAATTGGGGTGAATTTTATGTTTTTTTAAATTCAGAGGACTTAATTTGGCTATCTTTATTGGTTACATTTGGCTAAACTCTTCATTCTGGACAATTTTAAATATATTACAAAAATAGAAAATATAGGATAATGAGACCTCATGTACCCATCACACCAATTCAAGGCCAACTTTTTTTTTTTTTTTTAATATGTTTTTATTGATTTTGGGGAGAGGGAGAGATAGAAACATCAATGAGAGAGAAACATTGGTCAATCGACAGTTTCTGGGATCAAGCCTACAACCCAGGCATGTGCAATCAAACGAGTGACTTCTTGGTGACTGGGGCGATGCACAATCCACTGAGCTACACTGGCCGAGTCATGGCCAACTTTGATTCGTCCCTCCCTGTCCCCCACTTACTGGATTATTTTGAAGCAAATCCAGTTTTCATTACATCTGTAAATATCTCGGTATGTATGTCTAAAGGGATAAGGAATCTCCAAAAAGACAACCACAATGCCACTTTCAAACCTAAACAAATTACAATAGCCTTTCAGCGGGAACCGCCATCTTCCAGTAATTCAACAAAATGACTAACAAAGGGAAAAAGGAGAGGCACCGCGCTGTGTTCTCCAGGCCCTTTGGGACACAGGGAGTTGTTCTTTGGCCATATACATGCGAATCTACAAGAAAGGTGATATTTTAAAAAAGAAAGAAAGGTGATATTGTGGACATCAAGGGAATGGGTCATGTTCAAAAAGGAATGCCCACAAATGTTACCAGGGCAAAGCTGGAAGAGTCTACAGTGTCACCCAGCATGCAGTGGGCATTACTGTGAACAAGCAACTCAAGGGCAAGATCCCTGCCAAGAGAATTAATGTACGCTGAAACCAATTTGGCTCAGTGGATAGATCGTTGGTCTGTGGACTAAAGGGTCCCAGGTTCGATTCCGGTCAGGGGCATGTGCATTGGCGATGGCCACATCCTCAGTAGGGGGTGAGCAGGAGGCAACTAGTCAATGTTTCTCTCTCATCGATGTTTCTAGCTCTCTATCCCTCTCCCTCTCTGTAAAAAAAATCAATAAAATATATATTTTAAAAAGAGAGAGAGAATTAATGTACATATTGAGCATATTAAGCACTCTAGGAGCCAAGATAGCTTCCTGAAACCTGTGAAAGAAAAGGATCAGAAAAAGAAGGAAGCCAAAACTGGTTTGGCTCAGTGGATAGAGCGTCAGCCTGCGGACTGAAAGGTCCCAGGTTCGATTCCGGTCAAGGGCATGCACCTTGGTTGAGGGCATATCCCCAGCAGGGGGTGTGCAGGAGGCAGCTGATTGGTGTTTCTCTCATTGATGTTTCTAACTATCTCCCTTCCTCTCTGTAAAAAATAATATATATATATATATTTTTTTTTTAATATATTTTATTGATTTTTTACAGAGAGAAAGAGGGATAGAAAGTTAGAAACATCGATGAAAGAGAATCATTGATCAGCTGCCTCCTGCACATCCCCTACTGGGGATGCGCCCGCAACCAAGGTACATGCCCTTGACCAGAATCAAACCCTGGAACCTTCAGTCCGCAGGCTGACGCTCTATCCACTGAGCCAAACCGGTTCGGCCAATAGTATATATTTTAAAAAAAGAAAAAGAAGGAAGCCAGAGAGAAAGGTACCTGGGTTCAACGAAGTGTCAGCCTGCTCCACCCAGAGAAGCACACTGTGAGAACCAATGGAAAGGAGCCAGAGCTACTGGAACCCATTCCCTATGAATTCATGGCATAAGTGGAAAAAAAATAAAAAAGACTTCTGTGCTGATCAAAATGTTTCTCTTAATTGAGTGGAAGTGTGGCGTCCCTTCTTTCCCAAGGAATAAAGAAAAATGCCGAGACCGGTTTGGCTCAGTGGATAGAGCGTCAGCTTGGGGACTGAAGGGTCCCGGGTTCGATTCCGGTCAAGGGCATGTACCTTGGTTGCGGGCACATCCCCAGTAGGTGTGCAAGAGGCAGCTGATCGATGACTCTCTCATCGATGTTTCTAGCTCTCTATCTCTCTCCCTTCCTCTCTGTACAAAATCAATAAAATATATTTTTAAAAAAAAAGAAAACTATGTGTCCTAAAAGAAAAAGAAAAACATTTACAATATTTACAAATATCCAACCAGTATCCAAATTTCAATACTTACAAAAAATTAAAATACTTACAAATATCCAACCAATGTCCAAATTTCCTCAGTCTCTATTTTTCTAGCTTGATGCAACAAGTTGATAGATCTCTAAGTCTTTTGTAATTGCAGGTTTCCCCTTAATCTCAATCTCTCCCTCTTGTCTTTTTCCTTGAGATTCATTTGTTGGAGAAACAGGGTTGTTTAGTCTTGTAGACTTTCAGTTTGGATTTTGATGACCAGGTCAGGGAAGGTGGTGACATCTATCCTAGGTATTTCCTGTAACTTGGTGTATAAATCTAGAGAAATCTAACTGAATTCCTATTCCCTTTCTTGGCAAGTGACCTCTGTAGTGGCGGGCAGGTGTGTGTGTGTGTGTGTGTGTGTGTGTGTGTGTGTGTGTGTGTGTATGCGCGCGCTTCCATCAGGAGACACAAAAAGTCCAGTTGTCCCTCTTTTCTTGACCTTAGGGGCTAATGACAATCCTTGTCTAGATCCACTATATATTATTCCCATAAGGGCTGCAAAATGATAATATGCCAATTCTACCATGAAGCGAAGGTTTTTTTGTGTGTGTGTTTTTTTTTTATTGTTTATAAGGTGCAAATCAGCCTGTTTGTATGGGAATGGGTGATTCCTGGTTTTCCGCAAACTTGGTCCCATAATCGTGACCTGACGTCACTCCTCTGAGCCCTGTGCCCCGGACCCTTTCCTCTCAGTCGAGTTAACCTCCCGTCTGGGCCACTCCAGAACGCCGGCTTTGGCTCAAATTCTACGGCCCCTAACCCAGGCCAGATCCTGCCTTTGCCCCTGGAGATGGACTTGCGGGACACCCAATAGCTTAAGCTGCTGAGGGATGGCGCCCAATAGTGCGGGAAAGGAGGCGGGCCCTGGGAGGAGCCAATAGCTTAGGGAGGAGCCGAGCAACAACCAGTAGTCTTCTCTGAGAGGCGGGACGCTGAGGAAAGCCAATCGCTGGAGGCGCTCGGCGCAGCCGCACCCAAAGGCTCTGGGGCGGGAAGGGACGGGGGTGTCGCTCTGACCCCGGCCGGTCCCACTCGGGGGCGCCGAGGCTATGGCCGGGAGCGGGTGGCTGGCGCTGCGGACGATGCCCGGGCCTGGCTGGGTGCGGGGCTCTGGCCCCGCTGTGCTGAGACGCCTGCGGGATGCGGCTGTGGTGCGGCCCGGCTTTCTGAGCGCGGCCGAGGAAGAGACGTTGAGGCGCGAGCTGGACCCCGAACTGCGCCGCCGCCGCTACGAGTTCGACCACTGGGACGCGGTGAGGCCGGCAGCGCTGGAGGCGTGACCGCGCTGGGGGCGGGGCCACGTTGGGGGCGGAGCAGGGACGTCGAAGGCGGGGACGGGAGGGGTACTCTGGGGGCGGGGCTACCTGGGGGCGGTGCCTAGGACGGGTTGGGGGCGGGGCTACGGTGGGAACGGGAGTGTGGCGCTGGGTGGGATGGGGCTGCGGCTGGGGCCAGGACCTTGGGCCTGGGGTTGGAATCTTTGAAGATGAGGGCTGTGCCATAACTGGAGGTAGGACCTGGAACTGAATGGTGTTTGGGGTACAGGTCTAAGGTTAGGTGAAGAAAGGGGTGTGGAGCGAAGTAAGGGAGGGGCACCGTTTGGGGGCGGAAACAGACAACATTGAATATTGGGGCGAGGCCAGCCTGGAGCCTGGATTTGGAACTGAATTGGAGCCAGAGATTGGGTACAAAAGACTGAGGCCAAAATATATGGGGCAGAGGTCAGAGTTTGAGTCCCAAGATCATGGCTTAGATAGGATAAAGTTTGTGAGTTGAGGGTGAGGTCAAAGGTCATGCTGGGAAAACCAGCCCCTGGCTCTGCATTCTGTCCCTCCCTACCTTAGTTTCCCTGTCTTCTCCCCAGAGCGCCCCCCAACCCCACCCCGGAGTTTCCAGGCTTGACCTGAGCTCTCTATGCAGGCCATCCATGGCTTCCGAGAGACAGAAAAGTCTCGCTGGTCAGAGGCAAGCCGGGCCATCCTGCAGCGTGTTCAGGCAGCTGCCTTTGGCCCCAGCCAGACCCTGCTGTCCTCAGTGCACGTGTTGGACCTGGAACCTCGGGGCTACATCAAGCCACACGTTGACAGCATCAAGGTGGGCAGAAGCCAGCAGCTTGAAGCTCCCAGCTGGGGTTGGGCCAGCCTGGTCAGAGCCTGACCTACCACCATGCTCCCTCTTCCAGTTCTGCGGAAGCACCATCGCTGGCCTGTCCCTGCTGTCTCCCAGTGTCATGCGGCTGGTACACACCCAGGATCCTGGGGAGTGGCTAGAACTCTTGCTGGAGCCATGCTCACTGTACATCCTTAGGTACTGCCCAGCCAAGAAGCCACCCCACTAATCACTGGTCAGACACTACCCGGCACTTCAAGCACCTTCTCTCATTCAGCCCTCACAGAAAACACTACCATCCCCTGCACAGCAGACGCTTAGCCTGGAACAGGGGTGCCCTCACCCTACCCAGTCATAGCTTCTGTTTCCTCTTTCAGAGACTCTGCCCGTTACGACTTCTCCCACGAGATCCTTCGGGATGAAGAGTCCTTTTTTGGGGAACTTCGGGTTCCCAGAGGCCGACGCATCTCTGTGATCTGCCGCTCCCTCCCTGAGGGGGTAGGACCAGAGGAGCCTGGGCAGCCACCCCCAGCCTGCTGACCCCCAGGCCCTTTGCCCAGCTTCTCAGGGGCTCTGACCCCGCCGTGCTGAGACACCTGTGGGATGCGGCTGTGGTGCGGCCCAGCTTCCTGAGCGCGGCCGAGGGAGAGACGCTGAGGCGCGAGTTGGACCCTGAGCTGCGCTGCCACCGGTACAAGTTCGACCACTGGGACGCAGTGAGGTGTCCTTTATTTGTGAATAAAGCTAGGAAATGGACAAGGTAGCCTTCCTTGCACTGGCTGTTTGCTGGGGCTGGGATTTGCAAGGGAAGCCCAGACCCTACCTGCCCACCAAGCAGAAGCTGAGATGACAGGGTCCGGTGCACCCCACTGAACACAGAATCACAAGAACCAGGATCAGTTTCCTTTATTGTCCCTTGCTGGCATCCCTAGCCCACCCCATCTTCTCATCTTCCAGGCATCTAGGTCTCCAATAAATAAGTCATCAGACCTCTGGTGTGGCTGCAGGGCCCCATCTGAGCACCCTCAGCCACTGCAGCCGCAGGCAGCCGCCGAGAGCTGGGGCAGCCACTGCCAGCGGTGGTGGTCATCCAGGAAGGCCACATCAGCGTAGCGGGTGGGCTGGCAGCAGGGGCTTCCATGTGCTCGGCCCTGGCTCCGCAGCCTGGCCAGCGCCAGGCTGTGTTGGGTGCGGGCACCGCGGGGACAACTGCCAGCACAGTAGCGGAAGATAACCGTCTCCTCCGAAGCGTAGCCCAGGCCCAGCTCCACCACTGGCAGGGCCAAGCTCCGCAGCTGGCATGGGCCAGCCGGGGCTCGGCGCAGGCGGGCACCTGGGTGGGGACAAGGGGCAGTTGACAGTGGTCAGGGGTTGGCCAGGAAGAAGTTGGGGAGTCACACGGGGTCCTGGGAGTCCTTACCCAGCTGTGCCTTCCAGGTCCCTACGTCCGCTGCTAGCTCAGCCGAGAGCGTTTCCTCCACCACTGGGTCCCCGCCGAGGCCCAGCTGCAGGCATAGGAGCAGCAGAGAGCTGAGCAGGACTCTTCCTATGGCCATTGTGACGAACAGGTCCTGAGGATGCAGATGTCCTGCGCGCTCAATTTATCCCCATCTGGGCTGGGAAATAACCGCTTCACTGCCGGATGCTGCATAGGCACTAAGGCCCCATGTCCCCCACATCCTCAGACCTGGGCAGGCCAACTCCCTCTGTCCCACATTCTTTCCTTCTAAGAGTTAAGGGCTCACCCCCACATCCAGACATTCCATAGATCTATTTCTGACACCCCCTCCACACCTTGATTTAAGAGTTGTAGCGGCAGCCAGGGCCCAGCCCAGAGTGAGCAACCAGGTCCCTGCCCCACTGTCCCACCTGCCATCTGGAAGAAGTGAGGGGGGAGCAGTTCTGTGGGGCCCCCATTGGGGCCCCTCCCCATTCAAACAGGGTGTGGAGGCTCAGGAGCCCCCGTGTTGGGCACCAGGTGGAATGGATATGTGGGGGGTGGGGGGGGGGGGAGTGGGAACAGGGAAGAGGTGGTTTGACAGGTGAACTAACTAATGGAGACTCATCCATCATGGCTCCAGCCTAGAGGATTAAGGCATCATGCCCCTGTGTCTGGGCCTGGCTGAGCCAGTGTCAAAACAGGAAAAGGGAGAGGCTCTCGGACAGCCAAGAGTTGGGACACAAGGGGCCGGAATCTCACCCTGTAGGGACTCCAGTCTCTAGAAGGCCCACCCGAGGACCTTGGGACCTCAGCCTGGTCCTGGTGTCCAGAGCATCAGCAAGAAGGGAGGTGACCCGAGACTGGTTTGGCTCAGTGGATAGAGTGTCAGCCTGCGGACTGAAAGGTCCCGGGTTTGATTCCAGTCAAGGGCATGTACCATGGTTGCGGGCACATCCCCAGTAGGAGGTGTGCAGGAGGCAGCTGATCGATGTCTCTCTCTATCGAGGTTTCTAACTCCCTCTCCTTTCTTCTCTGTAAAAAATCAATAAGAGATATTAAAAAAAAAAAAAAAAAAAAAGGAGGTGACTCCCACTAGGCCTTGGAGGCAGTTGCAAATCAGTGACTTCCATACCCTATAGGCCCTGTGGCCCCTGGGAAGTGAGACTGTCCCTTGCCTCTAAAAGGCTAATCAGTCCCCCATATGTGCGGTTCTGAGGACAGTGTTTAACATGGTGTTTGGCACTGAGGAGCTGGGAGAGCTTCTGAGGCAAAGGAAATTCAAGTAGCTTTTGCATGTCTGAAAAGGTGCTCGACCTCACACAGGTGAGACTGAGTTAAAACCTGACTTGGAACCCAAGATTGGCAAAAGTCAGAGTGCTTCCACATGGCTGGGGTGCACACATGACAGGTGTACCGCCACCTGTAGGTGAGTGTAAGTTGGTAGCAGTTGAGCAGTTGATACCGAAACTGCAAATCCCATCCCTTTGACCCCGAAACTGCTTCAGGAATTTGTGCTTAGTAGGTGAGCAGACACAAACTCAGGGCTATTCGCTGCTTTCTATCAGCAAAAGATCAGAAATGACTGGAAGTCCACACAGGGGTTGCTTTACTAATTTGGTGTGGTTGTTCCTATTGCGGTGCCTAGTGAGACTACTTTCAGAAGTCCAAAGCCACTCAGAATTAAATACAGTTAGATTTGAACCCAGGTTCCGTGGAACACAAGGCCCCTGCTCCTAACTGCTGAGGCATAAGGCTTTAGGTCACGGTCCATGGCCGTGAGTATAGGGGTGAAAATCCCAGCATAAATGGTGACAGCATCTTTCCTGCTGCCCCGAAAAGGCCTGGCGGAAGTGTAGGGAGGGAGGTTGGACCGACCTGGGACATTCCTAGGAATTAGCCTGACATCTCAGGCATTCCCACTGACAGCCATGGTCCTGTGGAACGGGGTGGGGAAGTTTTCCACCTGCAGTTTCCAGCTGAGGGCAAGACGGAAATCTGGATCACTTGGGATAGGGATTCAAAAGTAGCATCTGCTGCCAAATTTCATTTCCAGCAGCATTATTGTCCATGACATTGAACAGTCCTCCCACTACAGAACACCTAGTAATGCTGGAAAAAAATAAATGCATAACCAACTTATGAGAAAGGGAAGCCCCAGAAACCTCACTGGAAAGCTGAAAAAGGTGCCAACATCAGCAATAAAAGAGCCCTGAGCTGAGAACCATCCAAATGGGCTCAAGCTGGGACTCGTGGGGCACCTGGTGGGAGCAAAGGCAAAAACCATTTAAAAGGACTGGCCTGTAGGCCATCCAGGAGTCCCACAGATAGAGCCCGAAGCTGGCCACCTCTTCCCCTATCCAAGATTACAACCAACCAACCATGAAGAGTCATCAGAAGATAGAACAGGAAGCCTGTGAGCTTCAGGTGCTGATGTGTCTGATGAAAACTAAGACAAGATGCTTAAAATAGCATGCATATAAGCCTAACCAGTGGTCATGGACAACAGAGGGTGGACATACGTGGGGAGGAGTTTGGGATGGGAATGGGGAGATGAGGACAATTCTGTGATACCATAATCAATAAAGAAATTTTTTAAAAAGATGCTTAAAATAAAAGTGTGAAAGGGAAGAAAAACATTTAGGATAGTCCAGTCTGCGTGGCTCAGTGGTTGAGCATCGACCTAAGAACCAGGAGGTCATAGTTCGATTCCCAGTCAGGACACATGCCCGGGTTGTAGCTTGATCCGTGTGGGGTGTGTAGGAGGCAGCCAATCAATGATTCTCATCATTGCTATTTCTATCTCTTTTTTCTCTCTGAAATCAATAAAAATATATTTAAAAAACACACACATTAAGGACAAAACATTCAAAACAGACCAGCTGCCCTGGCCGGTGTGGCTTGGGTGAGATCATCCTGTGCACCAGGGGATTACCTGTTTGATTCGCTGTCAGAGCACACATCCAGGTTGCAATTTTGGTCTCCCATTGGGGTGTGCACAAGAAGCAACCAACCAATGTTTTTCTCTGTCATGGATGTTTCTCTTTCTCTAAAATCAATAAAAACATTTTATACTAGCCCTAGCCAGTTTGGCTCAGTGGATAGAGTGTTAGCTTGCAGACTGAAGGGTCCCCAGGTTTGATTCCAGTCAAGGGGCACATGCCCAGGGTTGATGGTTCAATCCCCAGTACAGGGCATGCAGGAGGCAGCCAATCAATGATTCTCATCATTTTGATTCTCTCTCTCCCTCTCCTAAATCAATAAAAATATACAATTAAAAAAAAAACAAAAACAGACCAGCCAATCAGAAAAAGAAACAGCTGAAGAGATAACTGATAAAGTGGAAGACAGACCTGAAGAAATCACCGCATGTGCAAAATAAGTTCTAAGAGACATCTCAAGGTTCTAGAAGGAGAAGTGGGGGAGAATAAGAGAAGTAAATTGAGAAGAATGCTGCTTGGGTTTTTCCAACCTATTAATGCTGGGGCCTGGGATTCAGGGAACAGGGTGACAAGTGGACAGTTAGACCCACCGAGCAATGAGTATGTGGAATTCAAGAGCCCATGAACTTCTAGAGACAAGCTTATTTATTGGGCAACAGGGTGGGGACCAGCCCCTCACTCCTTGAGGGAGAAGTGCATCTTGTCATTGATCATCTTACGCTCAGGGTTCAGACGTTTGAGGATCTGGGCAAGCACGTTCACTGTCTGCTCGCTACTCAGCCCTGTCTTCTTGGTCTGGAACTTTTTCAGCAGGTCTTTCGTGGTCATGGGCTTCCGTGTCAGGTAGCGGCGCACAGCGTCCTCAGTCACCTGCACATCACTGAGGGGCGCAGTGGAGAGTGGGGAATTAGTGGGTGGCCCTCCTTCCCAGTGGTCCCCGTCCTGTCCCTGCTGTCCTCCCCCACCAACTTACCCACTGCTGGGGGTTGACTTCCCAGATTGGGGCTGAGGGGTCGACTTCCCAGACAGGCTCTGGGGTCCACTGTCCAGCCGCAACCGCTTAGCTGCTGTCGTCTCATTTGTCCGCTTTCCTGTGAGAGCAGAGGCAGGGCCAGGTGTTAGAAATGTGAAACTGGACATGTCGGGAGACCTCAGGCTAGGTGGTGCCTGAGGCCCTAGGATACAAGGGGCTCAGGCAGATAGGGGCTCTGCCCCTTAATCTGGCCTCAGATCCTGACGCTCAGGGCACACAAGAACAGAGGTCAAAAGGGACGGGAAGGCCACTCACCTTGCTCCAGTTTGCTGGCAGCTGCCCGAAGGGTGGAGGAGGTGTTGCCACTCTCTGTGCTGGGTGTGCCTGGCCGGCTATTGCCCCTTGAGCTGCCCCCTGATGGCTTCCGCTCTCTCTTGGGGGGAGTCTTCTTTTTCTGCAAATTTTAGAGTTGGGGATGTGAGTCTGGAAACAGACACCAGGGCCGACATCCCTCGTCCCAACCCTGGCTGGGCCTTACAGCCATGAAGAGAGCTGAGGAGGCCTCGCTGTCAATGTCACTCTCTTCTGAGCTGTCAGACTCATCACTGCTGTCTGTATGGGAACAGAGAAGAGCTGTCAGGATAAGGCACCCACACCCAGCCTCAGCTCTATCTCAGTTAAGGGGGTTGTGTAGGGGGCAGAAGCCTAGAAAGCCAAGCCTACCTCTCTTCCGCTTCTTCTCTTGTGGTGTGGGTGCCTTCTTCTCCTCCTCCTCCTCCTTTTCCTCCTCAGGAGGCTTCTCCTCCTCACTCTCCTCGCTGCTTTCGCTCCGCTCATCCACGCCCTTGGGGCCCTCCTCCTGCTGGATGACCTTGGGCTTGCCCTCCGGCTCTTCAGAACTGCTGTAAGACAGAGAATGAGCAGAGGGTGAGTGAGCTTGTCCTCCAGGCTGTCCCAAGTCTCACACCTGCCTCCCGCTGGCCTCACCTGGAGCCATCAGACATGTAGTCCACCTCCTGGCCCTCAAAGTCCCCATCGTCACTGTCCTCGAAGGCCTCATCGTCTGACCCCTTCTTCTTCTTCTTCTTCCGGCCTGCCTTCGTCATCGGCGCCTTCTTCTTGGCCTTGGGGGCTTTGCTGCCTGGGGAAATGGAGGGGGGCTGAGCACTCATCGTGGTTTGTATCCTCAAGGACATTGGGACATCTCAGGCCTCGACAAAGGGGGAGAGGTGACCAGGGCTGGCCAGTTCTTAGAGAAAGCAAAGGGCCTGCTTAGGGGAAACACCTGTCATGTGCAAACCAAACCAATCTGGGATCTATACCCCCTGGCCACAGCCTTTCTCTAATCTCACATTGAGGACCACTGTCCTCTGCACTAAGTCATCCTTGGAGCCCAGAGCCCCCTGGAATGATTCAAACTAGTGGATCCTAAGTAATCTCTCTGCCCTGCCTTGTCTTTCCCTCGGAAACTTCAATAAAGTCCATCCCATCGTATCTTTTTAAAAATATGTTTCTTTGTTTGTTTTTGGGGGGGGCTGGGAGATGGAAACATTAATATGAGAAACATCAATCAGCATGCACCCCAACCACAGATCAAGCCTGCAACTTGGGCATGTGCCCTGACTGGGAACTGAACTGGAGACCTTTCAGTGCATGGGATGATGCTCAATCAACTGAACCACACCGGCCAGGGGCCATCACTCATCTGCCTCCTGCTCATTCTGGTGCTTCCCCAAGTCGCCCTGCATGGCATGTTGTGTTTGCCTCTCATCTCCCTGTTTTTTTCAGGGGCATTAATCACTCTGTGTTGTCGCTAACTACCTTTGTAAAGTAAGACTCAAGCACGACTTAGGCAGCTGTGCCCAACACCCCAGCCACCAGGGGAGGCTCTGCCCAGGCTCACCCTCCTCGCCGCTGGCCTCGCTGTCATCAGACGACATCTCCAGGTCGTCTTCCAGGTCGTGGATGCGCAGCTCACTGGGCTTTTTGCGGCCACGCTTGTCCTTCTCCTCATCCTCCTCGTCCTGGTCCTGGTCTTTGAGCCGCCGCTGCTGCATGATGCTGAAGTGGTTCAGGACTTTGTTCCTCCTGCAGGCAGAGGTAAGGGGTACACTGGGATCTGATAACAGGTCTCCAGGAACCAGGTCTCCTCCCTGCACTTCACTGGATGTTCCCCAGAAGGGAACCACAGACATGAGAGTTAGGTGATAAGAGGGTGATCTGACCCCAGGGGACTCACACATAACATGGAGACCCTAAAATCACACGGGGAGAGCTGACCCTTTTTCAGTTCCCTCTGCCCTGAGCTCTCAAGGAGAAGGTGTTGGTGTGGTGTTGGCATCCCAGCACCTCTCTCAGCTCAGGACCAATTTCAGGTCCACACAAAGGCACATCAAAATTAAAATGGCAAAGGTGCCTGGCCAGCATGGCTCAGTGGTTCAATGTCAACCTATGAGGTCAAGGTTCAATTCGCAGTCAGAGCACATGCCTGGGTTTCAGGCTCAGACTCCAGGAGGGGGTGTGCAGGAGGCAGCCTATCAACGATTCTCTCTCATCATTGATGTTTCTGTCTCTTTCTTTCCCTTTCCCATCTCCCTTCTTCTCTGAAATCAATATCAATATTTATTTATTTAAAGGAAAGGGATGGAAAAAGATATTTCATGCAAACAGAAATGGAAAAAAAAAATTGATTTCAAAATAAAGGCAATAACAAGACCAATCTCAGGCAACAGATACCTGCAATTGATCCAGCCCAGACCTCCTGCCTGGGGAAACTCAAGGCATCCAAGGACTGCTCTGCTCTCAGTCACCAACTCCTTAGCCGTCACAGGACCCTGATGGCTTGGTTTACGTCTCCCCACTGGACTGAGAGCTCCCTGAGGGCCTGGTGGGGTCTGGCTTGGTCATCTCTGAGTCCCCAGCTCCCAGCTGGGCATCAGTTATGGTGACCTACCTCATTTCCAATATTTTGGCTCTATACTGGAGGAGCTGAGAGATGACACTGACTGCATCCTTCCCAGGCTTACTCACCTCTCCCACTCCTCCTCGGCTTCCTCAGCAGTGAGCGTCCGGTGCCGGGCCAACGGCGTGAAGTTGTACCAGTTGTGGACTGGGAAAGCTTCAAAAGCCCCGTCAGGGCACTGGGTGAAGATATAGTAGGATGTGTTCTCTGTCACACCTCCCTTCTTTATACCCTTGAACCTGCAAAGAGCCATGGTCACAGCCTGTGTCCAGAGAGACCCGCCCTGGTTCACCATGCCCCTACGCCTGTCCCTTCTACAGAGCCACCTGGTTTCTTTGAGCAAAATCAGAAGCTGGGAGGCTTTGAGCTAGCTCTTGGACTATCTGAGCCTTGATTTAAAAATCTGGAAAGCAGGGCCAGTGCTCCTCACCCTGTAGAGTGGGCTCAGGGCTTCCCCCATTTTACATATCATGGTCCTTTCATGGAAGGAAATGTTAGATAACTGAAGAGCACAGGTCCTGCAGTCAGACCTCTCTGACCTGCCTGCAGGCTGCTCCTTGGGCCTGAACCACTGTGAGCCTCCTCCTGGCTTCTGCCCTCACACTCTTCCCACACAAAAGTCCAGGTACATTAGAGTGCCCCTTCCTTGCTTACCACCATCAAGGTGGCTCCTGGATATATATGAACAGGACAGGCGCCCTTAGGACTCTTACACAAGCATCAATTTGATTTACCTTTAAAAATAAAACCCCATAAAAGAGATAAACCAAAGAACTTATATGCAGAGCCCCAAACATGGGCAATAGGGTGGTGAAGACCTTGGGGGGGAGTGGATAGGACTGGGCTGAGGTGAGTAGTAGGGTAAAATGGGAGACATCTGTAATACTAACAATAAAATATATACGCTGAGTAGCCAGATTATTATGATCTCTAAATACATAATAATCTGGCCATTCAGTATATATATATTATATTAGAGGTCCGGTGCATGAATTCATGCATGGATGGGACCCAGCCAGCCTGGCCAGGGGCAGGGGACATGGGCGGTTGGCCGTCTTGCCTGCTGGTCGAACTCCTGGTTGAGGGGACAATTTGTATATTAGCCTTTTATTATAGAGGATATACACTGAGTGGCCAGATGATTATGTGTTCAGAGATCATAATAATCTGGCTACTCAGTGTATATGTTAAAAAATAGAAGGAATAAATAAATAATAAAATAAAACCCCATGATGGAGGACATGCTGTCACCTGCACTGTGCATATGGGGCATACAAGTTCTGAGAGAATACCTCACAAAGTGAGGGCATGAGGGAAGAGGAGTGTGGGCACTGTTGCCATCACCACTTACTTCCTGCCCGACTTGCCATTGACTCGGAGCAGCCAGGGCTGGTCCTCAGGTCGAAACTCCTTGAGGACAATGCCATACTTCTTCCTCCGAGCCTCCTCCCGAAGCTTGCGGTTAAACTCACTGCCTGCACCAGACTCAGGCATCTCCTCCTCTTGGTAAATCTTCTTGTTGCTCAGATCTCGCTCTAGCCGGGCCTGGGGGAACAGGGTGGGGGAAGCAGGAAACAAAATCTCTCATCAGGGAACCTGCTTTTGCTCAGGCTGTGCCCCTATCCCTAAGAATACCCTTTATTCGCTCCAAGCTGAGCTACAGACACTCCAAGTCAACTTCTTGCTCGGCAAAAAAAAAGTAGAAAGTTGGTGCTCAGTGAATGTGAGTGAAGGGATTTGGGCAAGCTTTGTACTGTCTATCTGTGCAGCTTTTTGAAAGTTTGAAATTATTTCCAAATGAAAATGAAAAAAAAAACAAAACAAACGCACAATAAAAAAAAAAAAACACAAAAAAAAACCACTGTAAGTTCATAGTGGTAGTAAAACAGAAACAACAAGTCCTAGCCAGTTTTGCTCAGTGGATAGAGCGTCGGTTTGCAGACCAAAGGGTCCCTGGTTCAATTCCAGTCAAGGGCACGTACCTGGGTTGCAGGCTCCTCCTGGCCCAGGGCCCTGGTCAGGGCTCATGCAGAAGGCAACCAACTGATGTGTTTCTCACTTCAATGTTTCTCTCTGTCTTTGCCTCTCTCTTTCACTCTCCCTAAAAAAAAAATAAAAAAAAATCAATGGAAAAATATCCTCAGGTGAGGATTAACAATGAAAACAACCTGTTTGCCTGGCTGGTGTCGACCTGTGAAGCTAGAGGTCACGGTTCTGATTCACTGTCAGGGCACATGCTTGAGTTGCAGGCTCAATCCCCAGTAGGGGGCATGCAGGAGGCAGCCAATCAATGATTCTCTCGTGTCATTGATGTTTTTATCTCTCTCTCCCTCTTCCTTTCTCTCTGAAATTAATAAAAATATATTTTGCCGGGTCGGGTGCGGCCAGGCCCGGAGCAGCGGCTGCCAGGCTGGGAGCGGCCAGGCCCGGGGGAGCAGGTGGGTCGGGTGCGGCCAGGCCCGGAGCAGCGGCTGCCAGGCTGGGAGCGGCCAGGCCCGGAGCAGCAGCAGCAGCCAAGTCCAGAGCAACTAGGTCGGGAGCGGCAGTGACCAGACCCGGAGCAGCTGGTTGTGGAACGAACCAGAGCAACAGAGGCCAGGCCCTGAGCAGCCAGGCCCGGAACAGCTCACTCCTTGCCTGCCCCTGCCCCACGGCTGCTTCTCAGACATGGCTGGAAACTTTCGTGGGAACTTGAGGGTCTGCTGAATCAAGTGATGAAGGCTTAGATCTGGATGTGTTGAGTTAGTATAGGGCTGGGGTGTTGATCTGTGAGTGCCTTGGGTGGGGCCTAGATGAGGCTGGTGGACCTATTGGGAAATGTCTTTTGTGTGAAGTGTATCATTGGGCATGTGGAGGTATTATTGATTTGAGAAAATGCTAAGTAACTGATTTACTATCTGAAAAGGGACTTACTATTGGGGAAAGGGAGGGAAGAAGAGACTGAACATAAACTGCACCTATGGATGAGGACAATGGGGGATGGGGAGGGGGCAGAGGGTGGGGTGGGAACCTGGTGGAGGGGGGAAGAAATGAGGAACCTTTGTAATAATATGAACAATAAAGATTGATTAAAAATAAATAAATAAATAGCCGGGACCGGTTTGGCTCAATGGATAGAATGTGGGCTTGGGGACTGAAGGGCCCCGGGTTCGATTCCGGTCAAGGGCATGTACCTTGGTTGTGGGCATATCCCCAGTAGGGGGTGTGCAAGAGGCAGCTGATCAATGACTCTCTCTCATTGATGTTTCGAACTCTCTTTCTCCCTTCCACTCTGTACAAAAATCAATAAAATATATTTTAAAAAATAAATAAATAAATAAATAAATAAATAAAATAAAATAAAATAAAATAAAATAAAATCGGGTCTTTCCAGACACCAAATCTGCTGGTGCCTTAATCTTGGACTCTCAGCCTCCTGAGATGTTTATATGATGACTGTTGTTTTTATGATGTTCTGTTAGAGCAGCCCCAATGGACTGAGACAACTCCCAAAGCCCTTACAGTGGGGACTCTGAGACCATCTGTAGGATGTAGCCTCCTCTTTTGCCCAGAAAAATCTAGGCCCAAAATGCCCATCAGTGGGGCACACTTTCTAAATGTTCTCCTTTCAGGAGAAGGCTTCCTGCAGGGCCTGACAAGTTTTACTCAGAGCCCAGCAGCTCAACCTGTACTTTAGTTGTCACTTATCTCCACTGGGGAAGCTCTGAGGAAACAAACTTAATTACTGTCACAGCCACAACACTCACAATCAATTCTCATTCCCCTGAGAACCGGGACTTACCTGATTCCAAGTAGCGAAGTTGACTTTATCAGCTGCATTGAAGGCCATGATGTTATATTTTTTGGTTGTGTTTCTGGAATGATCAGGAAGAGGTAGTGCTCAATCCATCATTCAACAAACCCTCCACGGTTCAGCCCTTTGTGACAGGCAATCCTGAGGACCCTTAAAACATCCCAGAAGTCCCAAGTCTATCAGGGAAGCCAGATCCATACTCTCACCCCATGCAGAAAAAGGTACAAAGATTTAGGGGAACTGCCGAAGTTGGCTTGGGGACTGAAGGGACCCGGGTTCAATTCCGGTCAAGGGCATGTACCTTGGTTGCGGTCATATCCCCAGTGGGGGGCGTGCAGGAGGCAGCTGATCGATAACTCTCTCTCTCATCGATGTTTCTAGCTCTCTATCTCTCTCCCTTCCTCTCTGTACAAAATCAATAAAATATATTTTTAAAAAATTTTTAGGGGAACCAAGATGAATAATCAGGAACTCAGTCCTAGGCAGGAGGGAGGGCAAGCAGAGAATGCTTCCTGGAGGAGGAAAATACTGGAACTGGTTTTGGGGACCAACAAGAACCCACCAGCAGTCACAGCTGGGGAAAAGGTATTCGTGGCAGAGGGAATGTAAGGCCAGGGGCCGCATCGCTTCCACATTAATGTACTCATTCATTCATTCCACTCAAAAAACAATGATGCCCCAGAGAGTCCTCAGCTCACCCGGCCCTGCCCTCAAGTCGCTGCCAGTCTGGAGGATGACTCACAGGCAAGGCAGCGCCTGGCATGCCTAGAGGCTCTTAAAGGTTTTAATTGTTAGGGGAATGGGGGCGGGGGGGGGGGAGGTTAAGACTTACTTGGGAACTCGAACCACATACTCAGTGACATTCTGGCTGCCAGGGCCCTGCGCGGAGAAAAAGCGGGACGGTGGGTGAGGGACTAATGGCCGAGGCCGTCGGAACCCCCGGACCCCGTCTCATACTTACGAAGGCCGCCATGAGCAAGGGTCGGTGGTTCGAGTCTGGTCCAATTCGTGCTCTTTTCGCCTCTCCTGCGGCCCGCGACCCTCAGGCCGGGGAAAGCCGCCTTCGCGGGATAGGGTCTTCGGCCCCGATCGAGGGCCCCAAGCCCCAGGTGCCACCGATCCTGAGCAAAACTACCCGGAAGCGCTGCTGAGGCTGCGGTCCGCCTCAGTGGCCGCCCTAACACAGCCGCGCCTGCGCCTTAACCTGAGAAACTCTCCCGCGGACGGCGGACCGCGTCACGACCGCGGCCTCCGCCTTCGCCCCGGGACCCCAGTGAGCGGTCACCTAGCCTCCTGGCGCCTTGCGGAGCGGAGAATCAGCCTGGCTCAGAGGTAACTACCTTCTGGAGTGCGGACGGCTGCTGACCGCTTTATATAACGCGGTTGATCCGCTCGTGACGTAAGCACGTCCTTGCGTGACGCCAGCACGCAAAAGGCAGCGGGGCATTCTGGGAGGGAAAGGAGAAACCAAGCACTGGCTCTCCAAGCCGAGGTTTGTCCCGCCCCATTACGGAAGTGAGTTCCAGGAGGCCGCGTCACCATAGCAACCGAAGCCTCAGCCACGCCGCGCAGCCACGGCGCCACTACCTCTTTGGAGTTTGTTTCTTCTCCCTGCCCCGGGGCGGGGGGAGCGACACATCACCATCCTGCTAAATGATTGGGCCAGGTGCCCTTGTGAAGTTGAGCCGAGCCGGAAGAGGTCGGGGCCAGAGCGGAGAGGGGGTGCGGTAACCCCCTAGGCCGCTGGCAGGACGGGTCTGTCCAAGTCCAAGCTGCCCCCAATGGGCAGACCCCTGAGGCCCCAGGAGAACGGAAACATCGTGGGGGTGGCAGGCTTACTGGGGTAAGGGAAGGAGGCTATGGAAGGCAGGAGGGAGGTACAGGTACCCCACCGCGCCCGACCAGGTGTGCACAAGCTCCTCGCACACAACATAGTAGTAACACAACTGAGCATGCTCACAGATCAGCCATTCGTTAGTCCACTTGAGCATCTGCTGTGCTGGGTTGAGGGCGGTCCATCGTGACTGTCAAACCAGCTCCCTGTCCTCTTGGAGATGACAGTGTAGTCGAGGGGACCGTCTTAGAAAACGGTGCCTACAACTCAGGAGATGTCACAGAAAAAGCAGAGCGGGCTCTGGAGGCTTAGAGAAGAGGGGAGGTTTAAGCTGGGCCCTTTGGGTTGCTTAGGAGTTGGCCAAGCAAAGGCAGAGGGAAAGCGGGACACTAAAATTGCATCATAAACTACAACACTCCATAGGCTCCTCACTCACTGCTGTTATGTCAGGAACTGTAAACTACTAGAAATAGAGGGACAAATGAAACAGATATAGTCCTTGCCCTCATGGTGTACACTGGAGGGGAGGCAAAAGACAACAACAAAAAAGACAAAGTCATCACTGATCATTGCTGTAGAGGAAATTGCATTCCAACACAGGGATGAGGGGTTCGACCTGAAAGCGCTGATGGAGGGATTTCCCAGGAATGAGGGGAATGAGCTTGGCCGTTTAAGGGACAGAAAGGAGACTAGTAGGCTACTGGGGCTGGACCAGAGTAAAGGAAGGGGAGGGTGATATGGGATGAGTCTGGGGGATGGACAAGTCCCTTCCCCCTATCTGAGCCACAATGTCTTTAACTGTGAAATGGGATGATAGAGTTATTATGATGCTTCAAGGAGATGCTGCATGCAAGGGGCCTAACCTGCCCTGGTTCACATCCTTATCCACAGAATCCACAGCAGCAGTAATGTATGCTATGCCTGGATACACCACTGGGCCTGAATACCCACCCTCAGATGTCATCCTAGGACAAAAGTGGGTTTGTCACCAGACCTGTGTCTGGTATCACCCCAAGGACATGCACTGAGCTGTGGATACAGCTCTACAGGCACCACCTACTCTCCCTCTGGGCACCGCAGACATCCTCAAGTCTCCCCATCTTTGTGATGGGTAGCCCAGGCTGTGACAAAGGGACGCAGTAGAACAAATCACTATTTTTTTTATTTTTTTATTTTTTATTTTTTACATTTTGAAGTAAAGTTTATTTCCCAGTAATGAGCGGGACTCATTACAGAGGTAGAGAAATCAGAATTGAAGGAGTAGGGAGGGGGCAGGGGACCCAGCCAGGCTGCCGCCTGGACATGGATCAGCAGCACGTGTCCAAATCACTATTTCTTTCTCTCCTTCCTCTCTCTCTCTAGAATCAATAAAAATTTTTTAAAAAGAAGGTGGGCCCCAGCTAGTTTGGCTCAGTGGATAGAACACCAGCCTATGGACTGAAGGGTCCTGGGTTTGATTCCAGTCCAGAGCTCATGCCCAGGTTGCAGGCTTGATCTCCAGTAGGGGTCGTGCAGGAGGCAGCTGATCAATGATTCTTCCTCATGATTGATTTTTCTCCCTCTCCTTTTCTGGGGGGAAAAAAAAAAAAAAAAAAATATATATATATATATATATATATATATACACCATATATATTTAACCATATATATATGGTTTTAACTGTATATATGGTTATATATATATGGTTTATATATATATGGTTTACATATATATGGTTTATAAATATATATATTAACCATATATATATTTAACCATATATATATGGTTTTTAACTATATATATATATATATATATATATATATATATATATATATATATGGTTAAAAAACAATAAATCATGTGCTTGGGTGAGAATTTAAAAAAAAAAAAAAAAAGAATGACATCTAACCCTCACTACACTGCTGCTGCAAGGTCCAGCTGCTCTCCCATTTTACAGATGAGGACACAGAGGCTCAGGGCAACAAAACAGTGCTGAGATGGGGAGCTTCCACAGGGCCTTTTCCAGAAGTCTCGATGTATCCTCTTCTTCCCTTTACCCCTGACACATGAACTCTCCCTCTGGGCACCAGGAGCTCCTGCAGCATGATGTCACGAATCTTCCATACCTGTTAGGTGTTGCCTTGGGTCTCCTGTCGCAGCAGCTGCTCCAGCCCCACATGGCAGAACCTATAATTAGTTGCCATGTTCTTTTTTTAAAAGTTTTTTTTTTTATTACTGATTTTTTAAAGAGAAAGGGAGATAGATACATTGATGATACATTGTTGGCTGTCTCCTACATGCCCCTAATGGGGATCGAGCCCACAATCCTGGCATGTGCAGCATGTCTGAGAACTGAACCAGTGACCTCTTGATTCATGGGTTGACTCTCAACCACTTAGCCACACTGGCTGGGCAGTCACAATGTCCTTGCACTGCGTCCCTTTGTCACAGCCTGGGACGCGGGACAAATTGTTAAAAATCGGGACTGTTCCGCCAAAAGCGGGATGTCTGGTCACCTTAGTATAGGGGTATTTACCTACCCTGCCTTCTTGGTTCTCTCCTCCAGTATTATTGTTGTTTGAAACCTGTGATTGCATAAACACACTCTAGCTGTTTGCCAAAGCTTAAGGAGGTGGAAATCAAAACCTCAGGTGTACATTTCTATGATACGTGATCTTTAGTATATTGTGGTACAGCCATTATGGAAAATGCATGGAAGTTCCTCAGAAAATTAAGAATAGAGTTATCATGTAATTCTGTTTTTTTTTTTAAATCGAGTTTTATTGGGATTACATTAGTGAACAAAATTATATAGGGTTCAGGTATACAATTCTATAGTGCATCATCTGTATACTGTATTGTGTGTTCACCCCTCCCAAGTTATTCACTCTTACTATCAGTGAGGTTGAGCATCTTTTCCAAAGTTTAAGGTTCATTTCTTCTGTGCATGCATATCTTTTGCTTTTTTCCCCTAACAGATTTTTGGTCTTTTTAATTTCCAGGAATCCCTTATGTATTAGGGTTATTAGTTATTAGTGATATATTGTAAATATTCCCTATCTTCCAGCTTGTCAATCTTTTAAAAAATATATATATTTCATTGATTTTTTTTTTTTTTACAGAGAGGAAGGGAAAGAGATAGAGAGCCAGAAACATCGATGAGAGTCATCTTGCACACCCCCTACTGGGGATGTGCCCGCAACCAAGGTACATGCCCTTGACCAGAATCAAACCCGGAACCCCTCAGTTCGCAGGCTGGTGCTCTATCCACTAAGCCAAACTGGTTAGGGTTGTCATTATCTTTTGACTTGTTTTTTTTTTGTTGTTTTTGTTTTGACATGCAAAAGTTATCTTAAATTTTTGGTCAAATTTGGGTATTTTCTGTCAATTCTTTTGGATTTTGATTTATAGTTGTTTTTTCCTAATACTGGGTTTATAATGAATTCTATGGTTTTTTTTAGTACTTGTGGGATCTATTTCTTACATTTCTCGATCCATTTGGAAGTTATCCTAGTTTTTGGAATGAGGTAAGGATTCAATTTGAACTTTTTCCAAATTGCACCCCACTTGTCCCAATATAATTTAATTAAAAACCTGTCCTTCCTCCATTGAGGCAGTCAGTCTAGCCATATACCAACTTTCCATATTCACTGAACTTTCCATTCTGTCTTAGGACTGGGTTTATCCTTGTGCACTGCCTTTTTTTTTTTTTTTTTTTTTAAATGAGGTGGCTTTAGTTGGTTTTAGTATCAGCTGGGGTTGAATGCTCTTCTGCCTCCCCAAGTTCTTCTGGCCACTCTTGCTTGTTTTTGTATATGAATGTTAGAAGTAACTCAACTGGACTACAAAAATGTCACATTTGGATGACATAATTATGAACTAATTTAAGGACTCTTGGTTCCTCTGAAATATTTGAATCTTCTTAACCAAGAACATTTATATACACCTTTTGTTCAAAGTCTTCTCACTTAGGAATGTTTTATTCAAGTTCCCCTTGATTTTCATTAGGACTTCGCACAATCAGAAATGTTTGGCCTAGTTTGTATTTTATTTTTGTTGCTATTGTAAATGGGACCTTCTTTCCCAACTGGTGATTTTGTATACATATTAGCTATTTTTTAAAAAAATGTCTTTATTGATTTCAGAGAGAGAGAGAAAC